CACTTCTCAATCTTTCCCTGAAAGAGGCCTATTTGCATATTTTTAAACCTATACCCTGAGGGTCAAGATCCCTTTTTAGCTCACATCTAAGGGCCAACTGTCGTCTTCCTCGGTCCAGTCCAGGCTACCAGTATCTCCCTGAAAGCAGCTTGTGCACAAATATGGCCCCCCAGCATTTGCAGGTGACAGAACACTTGATTTTCTGGCTCTTGTGGCCAGAGGAGCTTGCACTCACCCGCCCTGTAATACTGAAGCAAACAGAGCAGCCGATTTTATCTGGCTATGCCCTCAGGCTCAGCTCACAGGCAGCAGCCACAAATACCCATCTCCTGGTCTTCCCCTGAAACAGGCTGCTTTGCATATCTTAAAACCTGAAGCCTGAGGTTCAACTTTCAATCAGCCTGAATGTAAGTGCTGAGATCTTTGCCTTGGGGACGTTGATAGGTCTTGGCCACCTTCAACTACTGAAAACCGCTAACAGCAAAGAAGGTGGCTTGCTCAATCACTAAGCCTGGAATGAAAACAAGAAGCTGACACCAGACAGAACGATAAGGCTCTTCTCCTATATGAGGGCACCTGTTCTAGACCTGGAAAGGTGGCCGATTTCCCTAATGCACAGAAAACAGCACAGAGTCAGGGGAAATAAAGAAATGGAGGACTATGGCCCAAAAAGAACAAGATAAAACTCCATGAAATATGAAGCCCTGCGTGAAATGTGAAGTGTTTTACATTAGAAAGAGTTCAAAATAATTGTCATGAAGATGCTCGTCAACGTCAGGTGAAACAATGTATGAAACAAGTGAGAAATTCAATGCAGAAAAAAATTTTAAAAGACCCAACAGAAATCACTAGGTGAAGAGTATAATAACGGAACAAAAAATTCAATAAAGGATTAAGCAGTAGATAAGATGAAATGAAAAAAATGCTCAGCAAAGTTGAAACAGGGCAATGGAACTCATCCATTCAGAAGAGCAAAAATAGAAATGATAGAAAAAAAGTGAAGATAGCACAGAGGACTTATGGGGTAAAACCAATCAAATGAATATTTGCATTATATGGTTCCCAGGAGGAAAAGAAAAAGGCAGAAAGACTATTCAAAGAAACAATGGTAGAAAACATCTCTAAACTGGGGAAGGAAAAAGGCAATCAGATCTAGGAAGTCCAGAGATTTCCCATGTACAAAAATCCACTGCATTCCAGTTTACTAACAATGAAATTCCAGAAAAAATTAATGAAAAAACACAATTTCTTCTGCAATTAAATGCGTAGGAATAAACTTAACAAAGGATTGAAGGACCTATATACTAAAAACTACAAAGCATTATTAAAAGAGATTGAAAAAGATACAATGAAATGGAAAAATATTCTGTGTTCAGTGGTTGGAAGAATCGATACAGTTAAAATGGCCATATCACCCAAAGCAATATACAGATTTAATGCAATCCTCATCAAAATTGCAATGTCATTTTTAGCTCTGGCTGGTGTGGCTGAGTGGATTGAATGCCAGCCTGCAAACCAAAGGGTCACTGGTTTGATTCCCAGTCAGGGCACATGCCTGGGTTGTGGGCCAGGTCCCCAGTAGGGGGCACTCGAGAGGCAATGGATCAGTGTTTCTCTTACACATCACATTTCTTTCCCTCTGTTTCTCCCTCCCTTCCCCTATCTCTAAAAAATAAATAAATAAAATCCTTTTTAAAAAGTTGCTATGTCATTTTTAAAAGAAATAGAACAAAAAGTTGTCAGATTTGTATGGAACCACAAAAGACCCCAAATAGCCAAAGCAATTCTGAGAAAAAAAGAACAAAGCTGGAGTTATCACATGTTGTAACTTTAAATTATACTACAGAGCAACAATAATCAAAACAGCATAGTATTGGCAGAATAACTGAAACAGACCAATGAAAGAGAACTGAGAGCCCAGAAATAAATCCACATGTCCATGGGCAAATAATTTTTGACAAAGGAGCCAAAAACATACAATGGAGAACAGGAAGTCTCTTCAGTAAATGGTGCTAGGAAAACTAGGAAGCCACATGCAGAATGAATGAAACTACTGCTGTTTGTCCTCATATATTGGGTTGGCCAAAAAGCCTGGTACCTTTTGTCTGTAAAATAAAAGACACATTTTTCATTTTCTCCAATAACTTTATCGATTTGGATATTTTAAATATTTGGCTATCTCCTGCTATTGGTTTCCAGTGGGCAGAGGCCAGGGGCACTGCTAAACATGTCCCAATGCATAAGACAGCCCCATAGCAAAGAATTATTTGGCCCAAGTGTCAATAGTACAAAGAAACTTTGCAAACCACTTTTTTTTTATTTTTAAAAAAGACTTTATTTATTTACTTTTTAGAGAGAAGGAGAGGGAGGAAGAGAGAGAGAGAGAGAGAAACATCTACGTGTGGTTGCCTCTTGCACATTCCCTACTGGGGACCTGGCCCACAACCCAGGCCTGTGCCCTGACTGGGAATCGAACCTTTAGGTTTGCAGGCCAGCGCTCAGTCTACTAAAGCACATCAGCCAGGGCACGAACCACTTTCGGCACATTTGATCATAGTACTTTCTCCATATACTGCACGAATCTTTTCTTTTGCATTTCAGTTGTGTTTTTACCTTTCTTGCAATCATAAAGCAAAATATGCTGAAAATGTTGTATATGTTCTTCCATCTTCAACATTGAAATGGCTGCACAAAACTTCATCAATTTTGTTTTTTTAATGTACTCTGTAATCACAGCTGTCACAACACAACGTAATAAAATTGTTCTGAATGACGTTAAAGACAACTAAGTACCACTGGAGCCATCATCCGGAAAAAAATGTAAAGGACTTTTCGGCCAACACAATAGAAAAATTAGTGCAAAACAGATTGTGTTGCAGCCTTTCTAGGCTGGACAGGTCCACTTGGGGCTCAGGTAGATGGAAGAACATGCGTGGATCCTTGGGGATGCTTGGCATGACTTTATTCGGGAGAGTCACACAGGCACAAGCCTGGACCAGGGAAATCACACAGGCCACAAAGCCTGTATCCACACTGCACACAGGCCAGGAGCCCAGGTGGAGGGAGTCACACAAGCCACAGACCTGTCTCCAAGTTGGCGCCCCAACTCCCCATCTTGTCCAAAGGGCCTATTCCTTAAATACTAGCCCCAAACGAAGCAGGCAACAGGCCAGAAAGTGAAGTAACTATCATGAGCTGCACATGCGGGCCTACTCAAGGCTACAGAGCAGTTTATCGCACCCAGGGCTCAAGGCTGTGAGACCCGGGCAAAAGCCTGTGGGAACACTGCTTTATCAGACTCCTCCACGGTTGTGAGGAGCTGCTCCCTCCGGTTCCCCACGCATCCGGGGGAGGGAGCCTGACCGCCTCCACATACCCTACACAGATCAAAGGCATCAATACCAGACTTAAAACAACAAATTACATAGGAGAAAACACAGGTAGTAAACTTATGGACATTGGTGTTAGAGAACGTTTCATGAATTTGACCCAAAGGCAAAGACAGTCAAAGAAAAAATTAAGTGAATAGGGTTGTATCAAACTGAAAAGCTTCTGCACAGCAAAAGAAACCATCAAGAAAACAAAAAGGTAACCAACTGAATGGGAGAGGACATTTCCAAAAAACAGCTCTGACGAGGGGTTAATATAGAAAAATACATAAAGAACTCATACAACTCAACACAAAACAAACAATCCAATCAAAAATAGGGAGAGGATGTGAACCATTGCTTTATAACTACCTATTAATAACTGCCGTAGTGCTGACAGGGCTTAACTGTCTCAATTTGATGGAGTAATTTGTTGTGGTAGGGCTTGACTCCCTGGAGCAATTTTAGGAAACACTTTATTGAGCGCGGATTGGGCCCCAGCGGGAAGCACAGCATGGCTGAGTGCTGGGGTCAGACTGGAGAACCCTGGGGCATTGCTTCACTGTAAAGGATTAAGGAAGAGTTCTCCTTGGAGAGCCTTAAGACAGAGTGTATTGCACATTTTTCTTTTTTTTTTAAGATTTCATTTATTTATTTTTTTGATAGAAGGGAAGGGAGGGAGGAAATAGGGGGAAACATCAGTGTTTGGCTGCCTTACACACGTCCCCCTACTGGGGATCTAGCCCGCACACCAGGCCTGTGCCCTGACTAGGAGTCGAACCCGTGACCCTTTGGTTCGCAGGCCGGTGCTCAATCCACTGAGCCACACCACACACCAGTCAGTGACATTACACGTTTTACTAAGTTACTGAGGGTGTTCTGTGAAGAGTATGGGAAGAGAGGGCACCGGGGAGGCAACTGAGGGACGGAGAAAACTGATCAGGGCCAAGGGGCAAGACTGAAGGGGCTCCAGTGGAGAATCCTGGTAGTGGTGAAAGGCTTTAGCTTGTCATCTGTATAAAACGGGCGACCATGACAGGGCTTTCAGTGTGACCAGAGCTGTCCAAAGGCCCGTTGCGTAGAAAATAGGTTACAGAGTTGCCATATTTAGCAAATAGAGAACGCCCTGTTAAAGTGGAATGTATCATCAACAATAAATAATTGTGCAGTGAGGGATTTGGGTTATCCCTATGCTAAACATGTTGTTGACCTGATATATTCAAATTTAAGTGGTATTCTGCTTTTCCCCAGGCAAACCTACCACCTCGGCAGGGGGACGCAGGGACCCTGCAGGGATTGCAAGGAAAACGAAGGGGCCAGGGTGGCAGCAGCGGAGGTGTAAGGGAGGCCCCAGAAAACTCAAGAGTGGCCCTTTTGGTGTCCCTTTGTGGGGAACAGCTTGGGGAAGAGGAGCCTCTCGGCTGTTCCAAGTGTTAGCCATGAGCTCCTCGGGTAAGTTCTACCCGCACCTTCTGAGCCGGCCGCGCCCCCATCTCGCTCCGCAAGCAGGCGTGGCGGCCGCGAAGAGGCTGCGGGCCGGCTGGGCGCCGCGGGAGCCCCGCCTTCCGCGCCCGGCGGGGGTGGAGCCAGAGCGAGCAGCCGGCCTGCAGCCGTCTCTCCCCGGATGACGAGTGGCAGGACAACATGGAGTCCGGCAAGATGGCGCCGCCCAAGAACGCTCCGAGAGATGCCTTGGTAAGTTCGAACGGTGACAGCCGGACGGGAAGCTCGGCGCGGCCAGGAACCGGGGAGGCAGGCCCAGGCGGAGGGCCTGAGAACGGTCTCGCGTGCTGGCTTCTGCCTAAGCCAGGTGGCCCGGAAGGAGTGGGATGCGGGTGTCTGGCTGCGGGTCGCTCTCCCGCCACCCCGGCAGCCCCGCCGGAGTGCGTAGGCCAGCCGGCCGGCTTTGTCTGCGGGACCCGGGCTCCCGGCCGCCTCTTCGTCTCGCCGGACCTGCGAACCCTGACTCGCGTCCACACTTGTGATGCGAGCTTCCCCCATCATAAGCCTAAATGACAACCAGCTGTAGCCACCCCCCCACCTCCGCCGGGAAAACCAACCCCGGTCTTTTTCTTCTCTTTGCCCCCGCCCCCACCCCCCGCCAGAAAAATAAAAGTTTTCAGCAAAGAGGGTACGACGGCATTTGGTGTGTTCCTGACACTTACTGGGGGAAAGTAAAGATAACTAAAACTTTGCAGCCCAGATAAGGGGGACCTTGCATCATAAATATAAATGCTACCTTGGGTCCAGTCTGGATTTCTAATAATTAGATCGCGCATCTGGCGTTTTTTATTTCAATCCACAGGTAATGGCACAGATCCTGAAGGATATGGGAATTACAGAGTACGAACCAAGGGTTATAAACCAAATGTTGGAATTTGCTTTCCGTAAGTTAACAAAACACAAAAAAACCCGCACAACTTGTGAATTTGAAAAGATTCCTTTATTCTAAGAACATTTTCAACCAAATTACTTTAACAGAATCATAAAATTCAGCCTAAAGCAATAAAAAAAGAGCTCAGGATAGGGGAAAATAGTATTTATACTGTGATATACTTTTAAAAATTGATCGTACGCAGAGGACAATTAGATATTAAAACCAAAATGCATAAACTTTGTGGAAATTAATGGATTCTTCCATTAGGAAAAATAGCCATATAAATAGTAAGCTATTGTCGTATCTGTTAAAAAAAATGTTTTGTTCTTAAAGGATATGTGACCACAATTCTGGATGATGCAAAAATTTATTCAAGCCATGCTAAGAAACCTAATGTTGATGCAGATGATGTCAGACTGGCAATCCAGTGTCGTGCTGATCAGTCTTTTACGTCTCCTCCCCCGAGAGATGTGAGCAAACTTTCATTTGAAGTTCATTTTACTTACAGTCTTTTCATTATAGGTCTAATTAACGATATTTTGCTTTTAGTTTTTACTGGATATCGCAAGGCAGAAAAACCAAACCCCTCTACCTCTGATTAAGCCATATTCAGGACCCAGACTGCCACCTGACAGATACTGCTTAACAGCTCCAAACTATAGGCTGAAGTCCTTACTTAAAAAGGTAAAACTTTTTGGCCAATTTAGCTTTTTAAAGACTTGAAATGTGTTAGCACAGCTGTAAAAAGCAAGTATCTGAACATAGTGCAGTAAATTAAAAGCTAATTTACTAGGATTTTTAAAAATTTACTGCTTTGGCTCAGGCTGGTATGGGTTGAGCGTTGGCCTGCCGACAGAAAGGTTGCTGGTTCGATTCCCAGTCAGGACACATGCCTGGGTTGCCGGCCAGGCCCCCAGTTGGGGGCATGCGAGAGGCAACCGATTCATGTATTCTTGCACACTGACATTTCTCTCCCTGTTTTTTCCCCTCCCTTTCTCTCTCTCTAAAAATAAATACAATCTTTTTAAAACATAAAATGTACTGCTTTGAAAATACCATGTATTTTAGCTGCTATGTAAAATATAAGGTTTTTAGAGCTAAAGGAATTTCAGTGTTCATCTAACACAACACTTATTTTTCACATCAGGAAACTGACCCTAAACTTTCCTGTTGGGTTAGTACCAAAGGTAGGACTGATTCTCAGGTAACTACCAATCTTTCCACTATACCATAGTTTTTTAGCGAAGCCCGATAACAGAGTAAATGCTGTACTGTCAGGAATTGGACTTGTTTTCTGAAATATGACCTAAGGCTCTCCCACCACTTAAAAAGTTCTCTTCTCACGGGGCTGCATTTGATGTCTGAAATTCCACTATAGGAGAGTTTATTTATTTGGGAGGGGCGGTTTAAGATGTTGATTAGTTAAGATTTAAAATTATAAGGAATTTACTTGTTATCAAAAAAAACCAAACACTCTACCTTAAACCAAACACTATATAAAATTATATATATGTGCATACACATACACTCATATCCACTTACAAAAACCCTAGTTTTCATGTGAAATGTAGAACACTAGAAGAACAAAAAACCGGACACTCTTGCCATGGATTATCCATTAATAATTCACATCAACAATCCTAATTTCATTCCTGGTAAATTCAGGTGTCAGATCTGAACAGTAAAACTAATTTGTTTGTTAAATCCCCTAGGGACCTAACCAAGGAAGACTAATTCCACGGTTAAGTGTTGGTGCTGTTAGTAGCAGACCTACCACTCCTACTATAGGTAAGTGAGAAAGGGAAATGCCTTTTCTGGCGGGTAAAGAAGAAGTGCCTCAGCACTTGATTTTGAACTATAATCCAAGTCCAAAGGTGAGTCAGAAATTCCCACATATATGTTGCCATTGTTCTGTTTACTCGTCCTCTAGTAAAGCGACATATATTTTATCAGACTTCAAAATGAGAAAGCCATAAAGAATATCTGATGCCAGATGAGTATGAAATGGGACATTAACCCCGTTGTTGGTATGAACGGTAATACCAAAACCAGGAGTTTAAGCTGTGCTCTTTGTGCCTTCTATACAAATCAAGTTGCCAAACACACTCACAGCAGTAGCCAACTTCTTATCAGAAATTACAGAAATTTCGGAGTACGTTGGCAAAAGAATGTAGTCAAGACAAAGTTCAAAAATGTACAAAAAGCGTAAGGATATTAAGGGGAAAAGTCATTCCGTTTTTAATACTAACCTTTTCAAAAGTAGTATTGACTGTCCTGGATTGGCCCCGTCATCTGTGCCATCTGTCTCCTTCATCCTTTGAGCATTTCTTGCTTTCCGGCACAAGATGTTCCAAGCTTATCTTTATTTTTAACCTCAGTCCTAGAATCAGCCATTTCTCCAAAGAGCTCTGCTTCCTTTTAGTGGAGAACGGTGTTTAGAAACCATTATTTCCACCTTTTTAAGGTCATTGTTTAGGTAATAAGAAAAATAGAAATAATGGACTTAGATTTCCTGATTTTTTTTTTTTTGGTCCTAAATTCTTGCTGGATTTCTTTCACAGTCCAAGTATTTTCAGAAAATAGTTCCCTTCTCTTGGATCTGCATTGGTTTTTTTTGGCTCTTATTGCTAATAACTGAGTCCTGTAGATGTCATATAGCTCTAGTGTAAGCAGCATTTGATTTTTCAGGTGTGTAGATAATCTCTTCATATTCTCAGGATGTGAATTTACATTTCAACATTTTCAAACCAGCCTGGTATAGTATTACTTGTACACTTCTAATTACCTGCATGCGACCTTTGTGGACAGAAATTTGCATGTATAATTTGTGTAACTTTGTGGTCATAAACTGTTTCTCTGTGGATTCATGTTAAGTGAATGCCATTTTTTTTAAAGTCAAGGCTTTGGTAATCACTTACACATATTGGCAAGTTAACCAATTTGAGTTATCAGTAGTGATTTTTATTTCTAGTTAGATCGCTTCTCAGCCTTTTTGCTGAGATGAATAGTGTAGCGTTCCTAGTTAGATATTGTACATGTTTTAGGTAATTTTTAAACCCATAGTTGAGGGAGCTGCTAAAAACTATTAAAGGTGCAGTTTTTAACTTTAAGCATTTTTTCAATGAGTTTTATAACATATAAGACCTCAGCATCTGTGCTGAATTTTAAAGCCTAAACTCCATACTTACCTAAATGTTAACAATTCCTTATAGTAGTGGCCAAGAAAACACCTACGTACTGTGAATTCCCTTGCCAAAATAAAAAATACTCATATTGACTGCTTCATTAAGCTTCACCAAATTGTTTGGACTGCTCCTTAATACATGAGAAACGTTGCCTAGGGATGAAGGTATATTAGAGTAAGATCTCACTTCCTGGGTTTGTGAGAGAAAGCACTAGAGCCTGGATTCCTGGGTACCTTGGGCCTTCCCTCTCCTTTGTGCCTGGTGAGGATGAGAGCTTTAGGGGTTTTTTGATGATAGTTGTAGTTGTCCCCTGCGCCAATAACTCTCTCTCTGGGCAGACTGCTAGTTCCAGAGGAAAGGGATGTATGGAAAGCCTGCATCCCCAAAGGAAAAACTAGGAACGTGTTTTCCGAAAAGGCATTTTTTTTTGAGAGAGCTGTGACGTCAGTACACATGTTGAGTCTTGCAAAATTCCTTCATTAAGCGAACATTTGTTGAGTGCCTGTTAGAAGCATGGCATGAAAGCCATGTGCTCACAAGAATAAAAGAACATTAGCTGAGGCTTGTAATTTAGTGAACAGTGTCTTAAGACACTAATAATAAGGCTCCTATATGGGATTAAGGGGGAATTTCGGAGACTGGCAACGACTTCTGAACAAATCAAAGATTTTATAAAATGGGAGTATTTGAATTTTACCTTGCAATAAAGGGTAGAATCAAAACGAGGGGCACTTGGAATAGTTCATCTCCAAGGTCCCTTTTACTGGGAAAAAAAAAATCTAGATATAGAAAAAGAACATTGTTGCGCCCACCTGGGACCCCAACGGCTGTATTTGATAGACTTTTGTTAGATGTATGTTGATTTAGCTTCGTGGGTATAGTAGACATCTTTGAATTCTCAGCAAGTGACAAAGATTAAAAGTGCCACATAGGGTAACTGATAGAACACTTGGGTCTTCATTATGGTAGTTCATATAAACGCTCACCTTTATGACTTCCTGTCACTAAAATTCAGTGCCAGTAGCTGTTTGAAGAGCTTTACATGGATGGACATTTTTTTTGTTTAATTCTCACAAGAATCCTATGAAATAGGTACCATTGTCCCCATTTGACAGATGAGAAAACAGAGGTACAAAAAGATTAAATAACTGGCCCAAGGACACTCAGCTAGTAGGCGATAAAAGCCTGAATTCAAACAAGCAGGTAGGCTCCAGAGCCTATATTCTTTTTTTTTTTTAAACCCTCACCCAAGGATATGTTTACTAGTATTTTTTTAGAGAGAGAGAAACATCGATTAGTTGCCTCCCACACACACTCTGACTGGGGATCAAACCCACAAACTTTTTTTTTCTTGGTGCACAGGATGACGCTCCAACTGACTGAGCCACCCGGCCAGGGCCAGCTTACATTCTTTACCACTACACTGTCCTCAACTTTTAGCCTCTAAAAGCTTATAAACACTTTTGAAGCTACTGTAGTCTCATACGTCTGATTTTTTCCTCACCTTTTATTATTTCCTGTGCTTTGAAGGTAGTTTCTGGTAAGCTAAGGAGGGCAGAATATGAGCCTGTTTCATAAGCCACCTAACTAATACGGTCTGTTAATTACAACTACAGCAACCCCACAAACAGTGTCTGTCCCAAATAAAGTTGCACCTCCCGTGTCAGTGACAAGCCAAAGGTTTACGGTGCAGATTCCACCTTCTCAGCCCGCACCCGTCAAACCAGGTAACGTCATATGCAGGGGGGAGGGGGTGTCAGCGGTTCTTTCAAAATATTTTTCCTGAATTTTAAAATCTCTGAATAACGTGATTATAGAACAGTCTGTGCTCCTATAGCAAGAGTTCAATTGTTTTAGTATTGTCACAGGAAGGGGGCAGCAATGCTGCCAATCTTCAGAGGGGATCTGTGAGCCCACTTAAAATTGTATCATATTTTAAATACATGTACCACTTGGGGGCAGGGAGAGTATAGAGTGTGATTCATTGATTCTCCAAAAAAAAAAAAAAAAAAAAAAAACGAAACAACAGCAACAAAAAAACCCCACTGAACTGAACTAAGTTAGGGCCACAGATCTAAGGCATCTTCAGGGAAAAGCACTTGGGGCAATATCTGAATCTGAAATGGAACCACACACAATAAACTGCTTATATAAAATATCGGCCTCTAAGGGAAGCATGACTGCTCACCTTGAACATACGTGTGCCTTTAGTGTGTGCCAAGAATCCAGTGCACTGCTTCCCATGACTAAGTACTAAGTAAAATTTTAGGTAGTTCAGTTAGGAAAAGACTAACAGAACTCCTTTAACATTATACTAGATACTAATTTAAGTATTTAAAAATTTAACTTTTAGTGCAGCATAATACATGCGTTTCTCCTACGATGTCGTTGCACTCCATGCTGTTGAAATGATTAATTATGGTCAGGTCTGCTGAATAATTTTTACCATATATTTCTGATCCTGGGTAATTCATACCTTGGGGGTGTTTTCTCCTCTGTTTACAGTTCCTACAACAACTGCAGTTCAAAATGTTCTGATTAATCCTTCAATGATTGGGCCCAAAAATATTCTTATTACCGCCAACATGGTCTCATCACAGAACACGGCCAATGAATCAAACCCGCTGAAGAGAAAACATGAAGATGATGATAACGATACTATGTAAGGAATACAGTCTAGAGGCCTTTCAGATGCGTAGTTGGTTTTGAGCCCAATATACTGAACTAGAACGTTCTAGATCTCAAGTTTTACCTTAAGAAACTTAAAGAGAGCTGCAGTATTTTTCATATTTCTGTAAACCATTAGATGTCTTAAGGCTGCCAGTGTGTTTTTCATTAGGCTTCCAGTAGAGAAAGTTGAGCACTTGTTTAATGGTTTCACTAATGTTGAGTCCTAGTACAGCAGTTCGGTTTTTGGAAGCAGTTTTCTGCCCTGTGTCACTGACAGGATGTAAGTTTCAGTTTGTGAGGCCTGATCAGTGGACTAATCTTTACCAGCACAGTTTCTCATCTACATTACAATACCATTTTCTCTTGTAAGGTAAAATAGTCACTTTTATTGTCACCAGCTTTTTAAACCAAATCTCTCAATTTAGAAGGCATTTTTGGAGAGGATGGATTTAGAAGGACTCTAAATCCGATTTTGAATGTATTTAAGTTGTTTTTGGTGTTTCCTAACCTCCTACCTCCTCAGCCCCATTTCTAGCTCCCATTCACTTTCTGCACCATCTCCTCTCGCCATTGCTCTTAAATTTAAAAGGCCAAAACTGGAATTTTAAAAATTATCATTCCCGATAATACACCTTAGCATCATTTTTATATTGTTAAAACCTACTTGATAATGCCTGCTGTTCCACAGTTCACTTCACCCTGAATGTTTCCATTTGCTTTTCTCTCTCCATACCAGAGTAGTCGAGTTTCATCCCTTGTCTTTTAAACCCATTCCATTGGACTCTGCTTATGACAGGTAGTTTTGGGTCAGGTACATTCAGTTTCAGTCTTTATTCCAAGTTGATAGCTCTACCGTACTTCGCATTTCTCAATGTAATGTAGCTAGTTTCAAATCTGCCTTGATAAGTACATTTACATTAGGCCTAGGCAAAACCACTAAAGAGCAAGGGTTTTTTTTTTTACTTTTTACCACATGCAGACATTTTTTTCCACCTTTGGTCACTACTGCTTGAACCCTCCTCCTATTGGTTTAGTTCAGATCCTTTTTCTAGCTTGTTGCTGAGGGCATCACACTTAACACATTGCGTACCGCTCATGGGTTTTCTCGTGTTTCACGCGCTGTTATGGACTTTAGATGTCAACACACTGTCTTGTCCACATCGAATGAAGCGATCTCATTGGTGGAAACTGTGCAGGTCAATCTACAAAAAATTATATAACTGCACGAACCCATAAAGCATTGCAGTTACACTGTATTTTGGTCATTCGACCCTGGCGTATGTCTTAGAGATTTCTACGCGGTACGCAATGTATTAAGATGGGATCACAACTGCAGGTGTTTGAATGGTTTTCCTTCCTCCAGAAGGGCAGCCACAAATACACGGAAGCGTGCGGTGAGCTGCACTTAGATGCACTCTATGTAGGTTTCCCAGTAATGTTACTATACACCTTTCCCTGTTTTCCATTTATACCCATCTAAACGCCTTAACTGGGGAAGATTTCAAAGTTTCCAAAAACAGAAGCAGGTTTGTAGTTTGACATATTCAACACGAGTACTTTTGCAGAATTTTCTAAGATTCATTTTCCTATTTGAAGATCCTCAAAATTTAAAACACAAGTAAGTTTCATCCTAGGATGGTGCTCGACACACCTGGTGAAACCAGTCCAGTAACGGAGGAACCGTCTCATCCTAGTTTGAGTGTTTTGGGATGTTAGGAAAAAGGTGTAAACTTCTATCAACAGATCTGATCAGCATCATAGGAGAGAAATGTTCATTATTTATAGCATAGGGTACCATTACTTGAATGTTCTCAGGGAGGCAGCACGTGAAAAGGCCTAGGTTCTAGTCCTGGCTCTTATCTCCTACCAACTGTGTGACCTTACTTCACCTCTGAGCCTTGTTCTCCTCACTAGTAACAGCAAAGTAACACCGACCCTGCCCTACCTCACAGGGATGTTGTGAGGGTGTAACTGGTGTATGCGAAAGTTCTTTGGAAATTGTAAAATGCTGTATTAACTAAAGGATTGTTAATGTATTTGTTCCAAGATTATTAATAAAAGTTGATGTTATCATTTCTCTTTCCTTTGTGACTTACGAGACCCGAGGAATGAACAAGGCCCAGACATTCTGAGGTCCAGAAAGCAATGATGATTTGCTTAATGGATGAATTAATAATAAAGCAGGGAATTGCTTGCTTCTATTTAGAATCGGCGTAGGATTCAGAGTGAAGCAAAATGAAAACGATAGAGGTTTAAACGTATCACGCTCTATCTTTGGCGGGAATCTGTACATGTAATTGAGTGTTCATCCACTTACTAGGCCAGCTAGTGCATAGTTTGCTCTTCCAGGGGAAGGCTGCTTGACCTCGCAGGCCTCCCTTGCCTAATTACACAGCCTCCGGCTTCCAGGTGGGGCTTTTAAAAAGATGTACTGATAGTAATTGCCGCGAGGACATTATCCCAGTTCTTTTACAAGTAGGAAGCAAGTGCCTTTGATCTCGGTATGAATATGGGAATGCAGCCAGCATGCCAGAGAATGGAAGCTATAATTCACACTGCAGTCTAAGGAGTCCAGAGTGAAGGGAAATACTCGAGTAAAGGAAGAAAACACTAATCAGAGTAGCAGATACAAAGTTGTGTGTTTGATATGCCACCATACACTTTAAAAGTTGTATGTATATACACATATGGTTATGCTTTTTTAAAAGATTTTATTTTTAGAAAGAAGGCAAGGGAGGGGGAAAGACAGGGAGAGAAACACCAATGTGTGGTTGCCTCCTAAGCACTCCCTGCTGGGGACCCAGCCCGCAACCCAGGCATGTGCCCTAAGTGGGAATCGATCCAGTGACGCTTCGGTTCGCAGGCCAGCACTCAATCCACCAAGGCACACTAGCCAGGGCTGGATATGCTTTTTATATGCACTAAGTAGCTCCAGTTGAAGGAAACCAGTCTTAGATTATTTCTAAGGCGGGAAACTGGCAGCAAGGGGACCGAGTTAGGAAGGAGTCTTCTCATTCCATATGACTTTCTAACTTTATCATGTGCCACAGGGAATGTTTGGATATGAAAAAGGAAAAGAAGGGATGCAGAAAACAGCGAGCCAAAGACGACACTGAATTCGTTTACGTCATGAAAATTATCTCTCTTCTGTATGCAGGCATGCATATATTATCTATGGGTTAAAAGTGAATTTGCTATACTTGAGCCCTAAAATTTTTCCTTTTGGTTAAAGAAACTACCAAATTTTTTTTCTTTTTTTTATCCAGAGTTGAGAAAAATGTCCTAGTCTAGAAGTCTTATTTTGGGGAGGCACAATGGCAAAGCAACAGCCTTTGGAGTCGGACAAACCTAAACCTGACTCCCTGCTGGTAATTACTCTGTGATCCTGTCCAAGAGTTCAAGTATCTCTTTTTATCCTTGAATGTGAAATACATATTTAGTATGTAAAATGCCCAGCAGAAAAATTCTGGTTAAACTTGGCCTTTTGAAATGGCATGTATACTTCTGCTCAGTCCAGAAACCTTATTAAATCATCAGACAATTAAATGCAAATTACAACCACAATGAGATACCACCTCACACTTAACCAGAATGGCCATCATTAAAAAATCAATGTACAAGTGCTGGCAAGGATGTGGGGAAAAGGGAACCCTAGTGCACTGCTGGTGGGAAGGCAGACGGGTGCTGCCACTGTGGAAAACGGTATGGCGTTTCCTCAAAAAAACTAAAAATGGCCCTGACTGGTGTGGCTTAGTGGGTTGGACATCGTCCTGCAAAGCGAAAGGTCGCGGTTTTGATTCCCAGTCAGGACACATGCCTGGGTTGTGGGCCAGGTCCCCAGTTGTGGGTGTGCGAGGGGCAGCCAATCAATGTTTCTCTCCCTCTCTTCCTCCCTTCCCCTCTTTCTAAAAAGAAATTTTAAAAATAATTTTTGAAAAATGGAACTACCTCATGACCCAGCAATTCCACTTCTGAAAATTTACCCAAAATAACTTGAAATACTAATTCTGGAGAATATATGCACCCCTATGTTCACCGCAGCATTAGTCACAATAGCCAGAATTTGGAAGCAGCCCAAGTGCCCATCAGTAGTTAAGTGGGGAAAAACTTTGTGGTACAGCCCTGGCCACATAGCATTGTTAGTTAGAGTATTATCTGATACCCCGAAGGTTGCAGGTTGGACTTTCGGTCAAGGGACATACAAGAATCAACCAATGAATGCATAAATAAGAGGAACGACAACGTTGATCCTTCTCTCTTTCTCTAAAACCAGTAAAAGACAAGTACCATATGATTTCACTCAGATATGGAATCTAATGAACAAACTAACAAGCAAAATAGTCCATAGAAACAGACCCATAGAGGGCAGGCTGACAGCTCTGAGAATGAAGCGAAGGGGCAGAGGGATTGACCAAAAAGATAAAGAGAAAACTTACGGACACAGACGACACTGTGGTGATTGCAGGGGGGAGGGAGTGAGTGGAGGTGGAAAAGGGTCTGTGGGGATAAATGGTGAGGGGGAAAAAGTAAAATCAGAAACAAAGAGAAAACCTGGTACATTTAGACAATGGCATACTACTCAGCCATAAAATAAAGAAGGAACTCTTATCCTTAGTGACAGCACAGATGGACCTAGAGGGCATTATACTGAGTGAAATAAGCCAGTCAGAGAAAAATAAATACCATATGATTTCACTCGTATGTGGAATCTAATGAACAAATTGAACTAACAAGGAAAATGGGGACAGACTCATGGACGGAGAGCAGGCTGGCAGCTAGTGGGGGCTGGTTAGAGGGTGATAAGATACAAAATCAATTTAATATTAAAATACTCTGTAAAGTAGGTATAAAAGGAAAATACCCCAGCATAATAAAGGCCACATGTGACAAACCCTCAAATACCATACTCGGGGGTGAAAGACTGAACGCTCTTCCTCTAAGATCAGGGACAAGACAGGGATGCCCACTCACCACTGTTCAGCAGACTGCTGGGAGTCCTCGCCAGAGCGACCAGGCAAGAGAAAGTAGTAAAAGGCTTCCAGATTGGGGAGGAAGAAGTAAAAGGGTCACTTTTTGCAGATGACATGATTCTGCATATAGAAAACCCTACAATCTCCACCAAAAAATTATTAGAAACAATAAACATAAACTTGCAGGATACAAAAATCAATGTTCAAAAATTCACTGCTTTCCTATATACTAACAATGAAACTTCAGAAAAAGAAATTTTAAAAAATTTCCTTTGCAATTGCAACGAGAATAAACTAGTTACAAAGGATGCAAAGGACCTATATACCGGAAACTATAACTGGAAAAAGGCACAATGAAATGGAAAGACATTTCATGTTTATGGATTGGAAGAATCAACAAAGTTTAAATGGCCATATTCTCTTAAGCAATGTACAGTTTTAATGCAATCCCCATGAAAATCCCAATGTCATTAAAAAAAAAAAAAAAAGAACAAAAGTCATCAGATTTGTATGGAACCACAAAAGACCCCCATAGCCAAAGCAATCCTAAGGGGGAAAAAAAATGAAGCCAGAAGTATCACACTGACTCCAAATTATACTACAGAGCTACGATAATCAAA